GCTTGTACAGTTTGGGAAGGGGTTTTGATTGATCAAAAAGAGGAATCTACTTCAACCGATATGCCCTTAGACACGGCCATACATAACATAGAAATCACACTTGGAAAGGGTGGACAATTAGTTAGAGCGGCGGGTACTGTAGCGAGACTGATTGCAAAAGAGGGAAAATCGGCCACTTTAAAATTACCTTCTGGGGAGGTCCGTTTGATATCCCAAAACTGCTCAACAAAAGTCGGACAAGTGGGGAATGTTGGGGCGAATCAGAAAAGTTTGGGTAGAGCCGGATCCAAGCGTTGGCTAGGTAAGCGTCCTGTAGTAAGAGGAGTAGTTATGAACCCCGTAGACCATCCTCATGGGGGTGGTGAGGGGAGAGCCCCAATTGGTAGAAAAAAACCCACAACCCCGTGGGGTTATCCTGCACTCGGAAGAAGAAGTCGAAAAAGGAATAAATATAGTGAGAATTTGATTGTTCGTCGCCGTAGGAAATAAACGAAAAAATCGAATTTCTTTCTTCGTCTTTCCAAAAAAAAAAATATAGGAGTATAGACTGTGATACGTTCACTAAAAAAAAATCCTTTTGTAGCCAACCATCTATTAAGATAAATTGATAAAATTAATAAAAAAACAGAAAAAGAAATAATAGTAACGTGGTCCCGCGCATCTACCATTATACCGACAATGATCGGCCATACGATTGTCGTTCACAATGGTAAGGAACATTTGACCGTTTATATAGCAGATTATATGGTAGGTCACAAATTAGGAGAATTCGTACCTACTTTCAATTTACGAGGACATAAAAAAAGTGATAATAGATCTCGTCAGTAATCTTATTTTAAAAACATATAGATAGGTACTTATGATTCATTAGTAGGAGAGAAACCTTATGTTTAAGCTAAGAAATAAAAAAACAGAAGTATACGCTTTAGGCCGACATATATCTCTATCCGCCGACAAAGCAAGAAGAGTAATTGATTAAATTCGCGGGCGTTCTTATGAGGAAACACTTATGATACTCGAACTCATGCCCTATAGAGCGTGTTATCCTATTTTTAAATTGGTTTATTCTGCAGCAGCAAGTGCTGCTTCCAATATGGCTTCCACCGAAGCCAATTTAGTAATTAGTAAAGCTGAGGTTACTGAGGGTACTGCCACGAAGAAATTCAAACCTCGAGCTCGAGGACGTAGTTATGGGATAAAAAGAACTACCTGTCATATAACTATTGTAGCGATGCCTGATCGTAAATCAAACTTTGAGAATTCACATGCTCCCCTCAACTGATCGAATAAGTCGTCGATCCTGGGAAGCAGATACTTGTTCTTAATCGTCAACCGGTTAAGATCCCGGTAGTCGATACACATACGCATGGATCCGTCCTTCTTCTTGACAAAGAGAACGGGTGCTTCCCAAGGTGACACGCTCGGTCGGATGAAACCGAGTCGTAAAAGCTCCTGGATCTGCGCCTTAAGCTCCTACAACTCCTTCGGCGCCATACGGTACGGGGCTTTGGATACTGGGCCGGCTCCTGGAATGAGATCGATAGAGAACTCCACTTGCCGGTTAGGCGGTCCTCCTGGAAGCTCGTCTAGGAACACGTCCACAAACTCACGAACAATTGGGACATCGTGAGGTGATCGTGCTTTCTGGGACTCATCGACAAGGCTCACCAGATAACCCTGGCAGTTGCCTCGTCACAGCAACTTGGTAGCTTTCGCCATTGAAACGACCTGGGGTAATGAACGATTCTTGGTGCCAAAGAAAGTGATCGACTCGTCTCCCGGAAGATAAAGAGTAATCTCCTGGTCATGATGTCTGATATCTGCAAGATAAAAAGATAGCCAATCCATCCCGAGAATAAGGTCAAAATCTCTCATCTCAAGAACATATGCGTCGGCAGACAATGAACGACCACCGATGGAGAGGCTGAGATCTGAAGCTTTAGCTGAGGTCACTATCTTTCGTCCCGAGGCTAAACTCACCTCGAAAGGATCGATAGCAGTGGTAGCGTGAACTCCGATGGCATCAAGACATCGTCGTGAAATGAAAGAATGCGTCGCTCTAGTATTGAATAAAGCGAACACAAGAATATTATTAAGCATGATCATCCCTGACATAGTACCTGGCTGCTGCTCGGCCTCGACCTGATCGACTACGTAGACTCGGGACTGCTGTCTGCCCCTCTGCTGCTGCTGCTGCTGTGGTGGCCTTTGAGCCTGCTGACGGGGCTGCTGCTGCTGCTGTGGCTGCTGAGGCTGCGGGGGCTGCTGCGCCTTCTTCGGACAACGGTTAGCAAAGTGTCCGGGCTCGTGACAGTAGTAGCATATATCCTGGCCGAAGTGACACTCGCCTCGGTGAAAACGTCCGCATGTGGGACACTGTGGAACCTGCTGCTGTTGGGTTCTGTTAGGAACGTCAAACAACATGCACAGCATTGAACTTTATCGAAATAAATCCTAACGCAGCAGAATCTATAGTTAGGATATGGACGTTTACCTTTTA